TTACCCCCCAATTTTTTTTTTTTTTTTTTTTTTTTTTTGGGGGGGGGGGGGGGTGTGGTGGGGTTGTTTTAATAAAAATTAAAGTTTTGGATATAATGGATTGGAATCCATTCCATTCTAATTGAAGCAGTCCAAACATTGGAATTTGTTGATAAGATCTCATTTTTTCCTGCTTCAATTCACTCGTTTCCATCAATATAACATGACTTCTCTTTTCAACAGTATTTGGGTGAAACTGAAATACCAGACTCTAGTTATTGTTTTCCTGTGACTCAAGGTTCTGTGAGTGTGCCCTCTTTGAATTATAATTTAAAATTGATTTGGATGGCTAGTCACTAGTCTAAGATTACTATAAAATATAGAACCTCCATGGATGAGAGATGGTTTTCAATATTCTTCAAATGACAACATGAAAACTATTTACCCTGGTTTATAAATGCTGCTATGCAAGCTGCTAAGATAGGTCTAATGGTATGTGATTTAGATAGTTCACAACAGGTCATAGGTTCAAAATTTCCTGTCACCATTGAACCAACAGAATATGAGCAGCAATTTCTGTTAAACTGAACTATTTATTTTATTATTGTGTTGGTTTGTTGTTGACAAAATGGGTTATGTTCTTATTAAGCTATGAACCAACATATCTATTCCATGTTGCATTTGTTACTTTACTGACATATTTTTCCCACCCTGCAAGTTGACTTTCTAGAGTTTTGAGATTGCAATTTTCAAGGTGTTATGTATGCCAGAAATTGCCCTATTTTCTTTTGGATATTGAATTTGAGGAAAAGTTGGTTGTCTTGATAAATATTTATGTTGTCAGTGTTATATACCTTGGGTTACTTGACTTGAAATAAAATCTTTATGTGTGTTGAGACAAAGTGCCATGCTTTTTTTGCTTAGCTGAATTGTATAGTTATTTTGCAAAGTAATTGTGTCATATATTATCATCTCCAACTCCAACCATGTGGGACAGGTCTAATTATAGTTTTCTTCTATTAAAGAAAGGAAATGCTGTGCCAAAAAGCTTTGGTGTTGCACTCGGCTTGCAGTCCCTTGGTGTATATGTTTGGAAAGAAATGCTAGAATTTTCTCTGGAGGGCAATCTTTTTATGAGCTCATTTGGGATTGAGTATATTTCTTAGCTTCCTAGTGGTGTTCTGCTAATGGTCTTTTCAGGGGAGTGTCCTCTTTAGATCTACGGAGAGGTTGATATATTTTTATTGCATGCCTTGTGATCTTTGCTCCCCCCTGCTTTTTTTTTTTTTCCCTCCTTTTAGCATTCTCTTTGTTATCTTTTTTTCCTTTGTGGATTTCTTATCCTCCAATTTTATGTCTTTCTCTTAATAAATTCTTTTGTTTACTAAAAAAGTGAATATTATGTCTTGTCAAATGAGCCAACGTAAAATATATTGTTGAAGGAAAAAAGAAAGGGAATTTTGTTCTTGTGTTGTCATCTAGTCTTTGAAGTTTGAAGGTAATTAAGAGATGCTAAATGAAAAGATGTTGGCAGTGTGGTTATGTTTACATATGATGATTTAGTAATACTAAGAGTCTAGATCCAATTGTTTACCTCGACTTATTTTTTCATTGAGTTATGCATCTCTGTGCTATATTACTAAATATGACATTGTCCATTATTCAGCATTGGGTTGTTAACCATATATATTAAATTCCTTTTTATTTGCAGGTACGTGTCAATGGACCTGATACAGCACCTGTCTACAAATTCCTTAAAGCAAATAGATCAGGATTTCTGGGTACTAGGATAAAGTGGAACTTCACCAAGTTTTTGGTTGACAGGGAAGGGCGTGTCATCCAGCGTTATGGTCCAACCACCCCACCATTGTCCATTGAAGTACTCTCTCTCTCTCTCTCTATTTCTCTCCATGGAGCGCTTATGTAAGATTATGCTCATTCCATTTGGATTTTGGACGTTTCAGCCTTTAATAATGACGGATCCTGTCACTTAAGGCTAAGATGTCAAGATATAAATGTAGTGATGCAATCTTACATGGTGCTCTTAGGATATGCAATAATTTCTCATGTGAATGTGTGTGGCTATTGCTATGTAACTAGAGGCTTGGTATGCAAATGTGAAAAATGCTGATATGTGCTGCTGTTGAAAGTTGAAAGTTGAAATTTGAAATTATTCTCATGTGTAGTTTCCCTGTTGCCTTTACAGAATGACATCAAGACAGCATTGGGGGAGGCTTGAAAGACCTTACAATCACTTCAAACTGGTGCTCCTGTTGAAGATGATTGAAACATAAGGATTGTATATTTTGTAGATGTTTCTTCTAGTGATTATTTCTTATATATTTCATGCCTAGTTTTTTTTTTTCAGTGTTTGTTGTATTAAAATTAAAATTCTGTTTGATCTTGTGATATAAAACGTTATTTAAAGATTAATTAATTGGTTTGAGTTGTTTGTTAGAAGTGTGTTTTCATACTAAAATGCATATAATGTTGATGGTCTCATGGATGCGAGTATCTCCAGGAGTTGCATCACTTATTATAAATTATAATGCTAGGGAGCAGTCCCCACCAAGTCTATCAAGAGTCTATATATATGGATGATATGCAGAACCTATGTACTGCATCTTACAAGAATAAAAATCTTTTTCATTCTCCAAGTTCTCTCGAAAGATTTTGTTCTCTCTTTCTCAATTCCCCCTCCCCAAGAAATAATTCACTGTTTAATGTAAACATAAACGGAAATTTACAATTGTTTTGGGCTGGTAAATGCAATAGCCGCGTCTTCTCTTTCTCTATTTTACATTATTTAAAGAAATCAATTAACTATCAAAGTGTAGAAAACCGTAGCCAACAGGTTATAGGCTTGTAGCCTACAAAATGCAATAACAAAGCAAGGAGGGTTGAGTAGGTTAAAGTGCTGGCTAAATAGCCTTCATGGAATTATATCACGGATCAAATAATTCTTGAATTGGACTTTGGGATTGTTTGAGCTACAACTCAAGATAATCGTGAATAAAAAGAAATATTGAAAGAGAAATGTTAATACATTTTTTTTTACACATTTTCTTTTTTCAATTTACTTTATTGTTTGGTGCATTTCATGGGAGTCATTAAATACTAGCAATGAACAACACCCACATGAATTTCATTGGGTAATAAAAAGCATATTGAAAAGGATATGTTTCTACCATTCTTTATTGAAATACCAAATGTGCATTTAGTAAATGCCTTCCAATATTTCACTTAAAATCTCATCTATGATTCCATCCAATTAGCCTACAGGTTGTGATGTCTAAATTCTAACAAAACAACGGAGAATGAAAGGAAAAAAAATATATTAAAGCATCACATGGCAGAGATAGTGATCAAAGTTACCAAGAGCTGCAGCACCAAGTTCCACTTCCCAAATGGGAGTGTCACTGTCGCGTAGCTGAAGGGGTAGACAATCATTCCATTGCACCACTAACATCTTATCTTTTATGATTTTTCAATCTCAGGTCCTGTTCAGATAAGGTTTTGAATGTTTCAATTAGACAAACCTCCTAAAATTATTTCTAAAAGGTTTAGCTAAGTTAAGAAGAAAGCAATAATGACAGCGAATGAACCATCTCACTGATTAAGATTGCTATAATGACTGCAACTCAACCATGTGACTGATTAGGATAGCAATACCAATATGACAACGAATTAATCATGTCACCTAGGTTGTTTAAAACAACTTTGAAATTTATTTAAGTTTATTAAAATAACTTAATTCTTATATTTTTGTTTTCTCATTTTAATAATAATCTCAGCGAAATTTATCTAAATAAGTATTTATTAGCATATTACAATATTGTACAGTCAAATTTATAATATAAGCTCTAGTATGATAGAAATATATTAAATAAGCATTTAACTAAATTGTTTACTGAGAGAGTCTAACTCAATTATAGTTGAATATATATATATATATATATATATATTACAATGATTGTAATAATAATTGCAATAATAATTGAATCTAAATCCTTATGTATTTATCTTACTTTTTTACTAGGTTGATCTTGGTGATTGAATTAGTTGAAATAAGTGTGTGAATTGTTGTAAATATCTTGATATTAAATTTGATTTCTATGAATAAGAGAAGAAGAATCATGATTTCTTAATTAATTATATATGATCTAAATTTATTAAAAAAAAGAAATAAAGAAGAAGTTCGTAATTTTTCTTTGATAAGATTCAAAACAGTTTTTTTTCTTCTCTTTTTTAAGCATTTCTGAAGTTTTTTTTAATTAAAATTAGAATTTCATCCCAAGTATGCATGTAACAAAAAATTACATCAAGTACAAGTCGGGTAGATAAAATTTCAATTTTGACGAATGCTTGGCATTCCAATTTCCTGCCCTACATTTAAAAATCAAGACAGAGTGGTACACATGGGGCAGGCCCCAAACGGAGAGATATGGACCAGAAACAAAGCCCATCTTACACGTGTTCTGGACTCAACCCAATAAGTCATAGAGCCTGGCCCAGTGACGCCCACTGTGTCTACACTACTTTTGGACAAACCGATGTGGGACCTCAATTAAATGCGACAAGTTAGAACAGAGTTTGAAGTTCGAACCGGTGAGAAGAAAGTTTGTGAGGTGAATTCGAATGATGTTGAAACCTTGACGTGGTGTCATGGCTGCCGGCAACCTGAGTTGACAGTGACAAGGTTTTGGTTTGGATTTGCAGCGACACAGTACACGTGACGTGACTGTGGACTCTACTGTTGTAGTGTAGGTCTTCAAGACTTGGAATCATGATTATATTCTAGCCTCGTGTGGAAATCAAATGCATGTCTTCTCATATATTATTCAACAACAACGTGAGATTGAAGATCATACAATACCATACAAATACTACAATAGATTGCGTTACCATTGGTCTCTAATTGTCCAAGATTCCCACCCTCCCTCCACATATTCATCATGTCAAATCTCAACCTTCTCAAGATTTTATTTTCTCACTTGTGGTACCAACTTAATTGTAAAAGTATCGAGTTGAAATATCTAATTCATTGATGATGATGTTTTACTAAGAAAAGTGTCAAATGTACTGTGCTTGATTTACAATATGCTTGTTTACGTGTGATTTAACTTTTAAGCACATTATACGACCATGTAAATTTATTGGTACCAGATCGTTTTAGTTCAATTGGTGTTTTTAAATTCGAATATAAAGATCATAATTATGTTTAATAATATTTAAAAGAGAAACTTCATCGTTTATTAAAAAAAAAAACACTTTAATACATTTTATCTCTAAACTGGGTCAGGGTGTAAATTATATGTTCTGTCTAACGAGAAATAAATATTTAAATGAAAAGGTTGTGATATATTGGTTTTAAACGAGCGTATTAATGTCTGAAAAGAAAAGGGTTGTAGAAGAATGTGTGAACTCTGAAGGGACAAAAAGAAACGTCCATGATCCACAAGCATCGGTCAGCTGATTCAAACCCAATAATTAGCTGTTTGTCGGAGAAGCGCTTCGGTTCCAATTTCTTTTATGAGCTTCTTAATATTTTTAATTTGTTTAAGCTATTGGATTAGACATTATAATGATCAAATATATTATTATTTTTATACTTTATAGTATTTAGGTGAAAGATTGAAGTATATTCCATAGATCTTAAGTTGTGTTTTCATTATTACCATTGCATACACAAAAAATAACTTAATTGTCATACTAAAACAATTTGTTTAAAATATTTTATAAAAAAAAACAATTTTTACTTTAAGTATTTCATAAAAAAGATATATAATCATAAAATATTTTGTTCTAATGGACAAATAAAAGAAGAAGATAGATTTTCTCAATTTAGATTTTTACTAAAACTTTAATTTTTTAATGAAAATCTCTACCATCAAAATCTCACATCTTCTTCTATTATTATAAAGGTTATTATCTTCTATTTTTAATTAAGGGTTTATTTGATTTGAAGAGGAAAGGGGATTTTAATGAATGTGAGAGGAGAGGAGAGTTTTAAAATTCTATTTAGTTGAGAAAATGAGATGGATTTTAATTAAAGGATTAAGAGGTAATTTTTTTTATTTGATTCACTTGAAGAAAATAAATTTAAAAATCAATTTTCTTTTGTATACTTATAATTTAAATTAAAAAATACAAGTAAAAACATTATAGATATTATAATAAAAATGTTTTAAAAGATCTTTCTTCTCTTCCAAGTTCTCCTTATTTTAGAGGAGAACTAACATTAAATAAGAAGAGATTTTATTCTCCTTCAAATCTCTAGTAATAAATTGAACAAAACAAAAAAATTTATAAAAATATTTCCTCTTTCTTTTCCTCCATTCTCCTTCCATAAAATACTATCTAAAAGTTGAAATTTTACCAATACATAAATGTCCAAAGGAATCCAAACCCCACCAAGAGGTAGAAAAACAGGTTAATTAGAGGAATCCAAATTTAACCCCAAAAAAGAAGCACTTGTGGTAGAAAAATTGGTTAATACAAAAGAGAATTTAATGTAGAATTGACCATTTCCTATTAGAGTATTATAAAATTGGATCTCAATTTTTAATTAAAAGGTATTGTTAAATTAAAAATAAAATGATCTACTATTATTTCGTATATTATTTTTATTATTATGAATTCATGTATTATTATTAGACATTGTTTAATGCTCTCATGTAAATAATGTGTGGAGTCTTGTGTACTATAAACCTTTAGTTCACAAAGTAATTTAATTCATGCATACTTGCTATATAAAATAAGGATAATATTGCGAGACAAATGTTTTGGTTATGTGACAAATTTTTATCATAATTCTTTTTTTTCTCTTAGCGAAGTAAAATATAATATTCTCATAAACGTTTGAATATTACTTATGATCCGATTTTTAAATTTAGAAGTGTAAATATATAAATTATTAAACATGATTACATAAAAAAAAAAATTAAATGTATGTTATATTTGTCCAAGACTATGAATTATCGTTAAAGACCATTTTGTAAAAAAAAATAGATCAATTATAATAACATATCATAAAAAAATTCACAATAAAAAATAGAGAGATGAAAATTCATAATTTGATTTCAAAACATTAGAGTAATTAAGATAAGTCATGATTTAAAAAATAGAAAAAAATCAATTAAAGATAAAAGAAAAAGAGAAAATTAAATACAACTTTTATTTATTATTTTAATTTAACACTTATGGAAATAAGTCAATAATTTATCAAACTTTTTTCTTTACATATAATACTACTAATTTATTTTCTTAAAATTATAGATAAATTTTTGTTGATTAAAAAAAATTGATTATTAATTAATTGTTCATAATTATTTTACTTTCTCCAATAAATTTTAATAATTTAATTATATATTATTTTTATATTATATAAATTAAATAATATCTTTTTGATGCCCCCAATAAAATTTTGAAGGATCGTCTCAGTAATCGGTATTCGGAAAATGTCCATTGATATTAATCCACTGCCACACCTCCATGTAACATTCCTTCTATGATTTAGTTATGAGGCAGAAAATGTCCTTGAAGATGTCATGGAATCTAATAGATTAAGCTCATCAACTCCATTCTATAACTTAATATTAAAAGAGACATCACCAAAAACTCTCATTATTCAACCTTTTTTAATTATCTTTTAAGATTCCAACTTCTCCTTGAGGGCACACAGTATACCCTCCACTCCAACATCCATGTACTTGAAACAAAGAATAACAAATTCCTATATTATAGAAACCAACAATTGTTAAGGCGAAATGACTTTAGTACCCTCAACCTCAATCATTTACACTACATGGCAATAGTGCACCACAATAATAAGAGATATCCTTATCATCCAGTATGATCATCCACAACAAAACACCTTCAACAAAGCTATTAACTACTTTAAAATCAAATAAAAATTTATCTCTGGTTAATTAACTCATACAAGAGTTGTTAGGCCGTAAATTTTTTTAACGTATATATGCAGTGTGAAAAAGTTTACGAACGCATTTGATTGTGAATTTTCATATTATTATATAAATGAGTTTTATAGATTATAAAATTATTAATATATTTAGCTTTATGAATAACTAGCACGTACAATATCATAAACACAACAAAAACAAGGAATATCAAAATTAAATTTTAAAGTATTGAAGTATCTTCCTGTTTCACTCTTTTACGTTCTTAATGTATCGTAGTATCCTACAATATAATTTTCACAATATACAATATTTAAATAGTAACTATGATAAGTCTTTTATATAATAAACACGATTAGTCCAAAATACACCCAATAGTTTTGATCTGCCATCGACCTGCCTAAAACAAGATGAAAAAGGGACACAAGTTGACTTGTCGACAAGAACTGAGTTATAAAATATATTTCATTTTGTTTAGAGATAGAATTGATCTACCAATATATATATATATATATATATATATATATATATAT